AGAACTGAACGCGGGTTCTGATGAGAACAGTGTAAGCGTTCAAGCAAACCACTTCTGAAGATGCAAGCCACTCGTGCTTGCGAAACGTCAAGAAGAAAGTCTACCGAACGACGGCCTAAAAACCCGAAAAACCCACTTGTTTCAAGGAATGGCCTCGACAGTCTATCTCTTTTGATGAATTTATTGCTGTTTGCAACGTAATTTTTCAGCTCAGTTGCCCATTTGAATTCTCTTCGCCCCCTTGATCTGCGTCTGAACAGAATGGCATGTTTTAGCTAGTGACTGGTTGCTTCGTAGTTGTAGCCGATTTTGATAACGACACGAAAAACTGTTCCCAGAATTACAGATAATGACCGTTTTCAATGTGCTTCTTTTCCTTCTTTATGGTTTCACACGATGATTACACAGTTTTTTTGCCCGGAGTGCCCGTTCTTGATTTCCATCGAACATTCTAGAATAACATAGACTTAGATCAGACTAGAGTGTTACAATGCCTGGTTTCAGTTCACGTTCACTTAGATCTAGGCCCGTTCATTTTTATGGTCTTTTTTGCAGGTTTACTCATGCATTGCAGGTGTGGTTGAGGGCTCGATCGTTTCTTTCTTTCTTGCCAAAGATGCCGACGTTTCAGGGTGTCGCGTTAAGGGCGGTTGAGATCTTGATGCTCTAAATCGCCTCAGTTTGAAACCTTCTCAAAAAACACCTGAAGGTGGTTTAACTCCGAAACTTTCTCGGTTGAAAGAACCAACTTTTGGCTATATGCTCTAGAAAACTCCAAGTTTCCATATCTCTTGGCTTGGAAGAAATCAACCCTCTTTAGTAGGACTGCATAAGTGTGCGTGAAAGCTTCAACCTAAAAAACCGCAGAGTTTAAAAAATTTGGCAAAATTTCGAAACTTTCATGTCTTGTAGAACAAGCTTTTGTGCTTGCTCTGCAACAATGTGCAAAAATGTGTTAAAGATTTGCATTATTTTCAGAATGCGTGCAAAAGTGCGTTTGAGCTCTTGGTGCTAAAAAACGTGCGACTTTGAAAATTTCTCAAAAAAATACTGAAAAAGACCTAATTCTGAAACTTTCACACGTTATAAAAGAAGCTTTTTTCTTTCGATTGGTGTAAGCGGAAATTGTTCAGCTCTCGTCTTTGGGAAAATGTGAATTATCTTCAGAATGCGTGCAAAAGTACGTTTGAGCTCAAAAAGTTCAATTTCTGAAAGCTGTTCAACTTAGAAAATGTTGGCTGATTCAACACCAACAATTCTCTTACTCTAATCAGGTTAGTTTGGAAAGAAACTAATTATCTTTAAAGCAAATGCTTAATCGAAAACGTCCGAGTTTGAAAAATTGTCAGAAAGTTTCTGAGGACGGCCTGAATCCGAAACTTCTGCACCTTCCAGAACAAGCTTTTTTCTTTCCACTGCGGCGACTTGCAACGTTTTATTTGTCTTTGCTTGAAAGAAATGAAAAATGTTCCAAAAGACTGAACAATTGCCTGAAATCTTGTTGTTTTAAAACCACTCAGTTTGCAAAATTCTGAAAAAATTCCTGATGATGGTTTCATTTCGAAACTTTGCGCGGTTACAAGCTCATCTTTTCTGTTTCCACTGCCAAAAGGGGAACGAGTTTTCCTCAGTCGGTGTGGAAGAAATTAATTATTTTCCGAAAGCGTGCAGAAGTATATTTGGGTTACAAAAGCAGTCAGTTTCAAAATTTATCAAAAAATTCCAGAAAGCGGACTAATTTCGAAACTTTTGTGTTTTAGAAAGTCGCCTTTTGTCTTATCATTGTGCTCTTGGTTGCTGATCGATCTCTTTTTGTTGAGAAGAAATTAATTATTTTCAGAAGAACCGCGCAGGCCTTTTTGAAAATTTGATGAACAACGCCTGAATTTGAAAATTTCTCAAAAAGTGCCTGCGGGTGGTTTAATTTCGAAACTTTCGCATCTTACAAAACAAACTCTTCTCTCTCCACTAAAGCAACGCGTAACTTTCTATCTCTCTTTATTTTGAAAAATTCCTCTTCTTTCATACGACGGCCTGAATCCGAAACTTCTGCACCTTCCAGAACAAGCTTTTTCTTTCCACTGCGGCGACTTGCAACGTTTTATTTGTCTTTGCTTGGAAGAAATGAAAAATGTTCCAAAAGACTGAACAATTGCCTGAAATCTTGTTGTTTTAAAACCACTCAGTTTGCAAAATTCTGCAAAAATTCCTGATGATGGTTTCATTTCGAAACTTTGCGCGGTTACAAGCTCATTTTTTCTGTTTTACTGCCAAAAGGCGAAGGAGTTTTCCTCAGTCGGTGTGGAAGAAATTAATTATTTTCCGAAGGCGTGCAGAAGTATTTTTGGGTTATAAAGGCAGTCAGTTTGAAAATTCATCAAAAAATTCCTGAAAGCGGACTAATTTCGAAACTTTTGTGTTTTAGAAAGTCGCCTTTTGTCTTATTATTGTGCTCTTGGTTGCTGATCGATCTCTTTTTGTTGAGAAGAAATTAATTATTTTCAGAAGAACCGCGCAGGCCTTTTTGAAAATTTGATGAACAACGCCTGAATTTGAAAATTTCTCAAAAAGTGCCTGCGGGTGGTTTAATTTCGAAACTTTCGCATCTTACAAAACAAACTCTTCTCTCTCCACTAAAGCAACGCGTAACTTTCTATCTCTCTTTATTTTGAAAAATTCCTCTTCTTTCATACGACGGCCTGAATCCGAAACTTCTGCACCTTCCAGAACAAGCTTTTTCTTTCCACTGCGGCGACTTGCAACGTTTTATTTGTCTTTGCTTGGAAGAAATGAAAAATGTTCCAAAAGACTGAACAATTGCCTGAAATCTTGTTGTTTTAAAACCACTCAGTTTGCAAAATTCTGMAAAAATTCCTGATGATGGTTTCATTTCGAAACTTTGCGCGGTTACAAGCTCATYTTTTCTGTTTYCACTGCCAAAAGGSGAASGAGTTTTCCTCAGTCGGTGTGGAAGAAATTAATTATTTTCCGAARGCGTGCAGAAGTATWTTTGGGTTAYAAARGCAGTCAGTTTSAAAATTYATCAAAAAATTCCWGAAAGCGGACTAATTTCGAAACTTTTGTGTTTTAGAAAGTCGCCTTTTGTCTTATYATTGTGCTCTTGGTTGCTGATCGATCTCTTTTTGTTGAGAAGAAATTAATTATTTTCAGAAGAACCGCGCAGGCCTTTTTGAAAATTTGATGAACAACGCCTGAATTTGAAAATTTCTCACAAAGTCCCTGCGGGTGGTTTAATTTCGAAACTTTCGCATCTTACAAAACAAACTCTTCTCTCTCCACTAAAGCAACGGCCAACTTTCTATCTTTTTTTGTTGCAAAATATTCCCCTTCTTTCATACGGACTGCACTAGTTCACTTGCAATCTTTTTGCTAAAAAACAAGTGGGTTTGAAAATTCCTGAAGATGATTTAATTTCGAAACTTTTACTGGTTATAGAACCATTCTTGCTCTTTCTATTACAATAACGCGTATGTCCCTTCCTCGTTTCGTTTGTTTGATTTTGCAACTTTGATGAAAAACGCCTGAATTTGGAAAATTTTTCAAAAAGTCTCTGAAGATGGCTTAATTTCGAAACTTTCGTATCTTGCAGAATAAGCCGTTCTCTCCCCGCTGCAGCTACTGGTTAGTTTCTGTCTCTCTTTGAAAGCAATTAAACATGTTGGAAAGCGTGCAATTGTCTGAAATTGTGTTGCTTTAAACTGGCTGACTTTGAAAAATTCTGCGAAAATTCCTGATGATGGTTTCATTTCGAAACTTTGTGGCGGTTACGAACTTATCTTTTCTTTTCCCAATTGCTCAAGGCTAATGACTTTTCGTCGATTGGTGTGGAGGAAATGAATTGTTTTCTAAAGGTTTGAAAATTTATCGAACAATTGCTGAAGGCGGCTTAACTTCGAAACTTTTGGGTATTAGAAAGTCGCCTTTTTTCTCTTCGTTGAGAAGAAGTTAATTGTCTTCAGGACTGCATAACTGTGTTCGAAAGCTGGATGGAAAGGCCTGGATTTGAAAATTTGTCCAAAAATTCCTGAGGATGGTCTAGATTCGAAACTTTCGTATATTAGATAGGGGGCCGTTCTCTTTCCAGTGAGGTAGCGCCAAATGTCCTGTCGACCTTAGTTTGGAAGAAATGAGCTATCTTCAGTGAGGTTGCAGAAGCGTTGCAATCTTGCACTAGTGAGTTTGAAAATTTCTGCAAAAAAGCCTGAAGATGGTTTAACTTCGAAACTTCGGTCGGCCAGAGAGGCAACTGTGCTCTTTTCATTGCAACCAGCTCCAACATTCAATCGGTCTTCGTTTGGATGAAGCAGAGCATCTTAGGAAGCACTTTTTGTGACATCTGGTTGCTTCTGTTGCAACCTTCCACTTCGAAGCTGTTGAAGCCTGTTTGATGACTTTAAATAGTCCAAGACGAAACGCCTTCCGGGGGGTTTCCCAGTTAGTCCACTTCGGCCCGTTGCAAAAACTCAGGGGCGTTTCGGGCATTCGCTCAAGCCACCGCAGCGAAAATGGGGCTCAGAAAACCCGGCACTTTCCCCCCATCCTAATGCTCTTTTTGCCTTCAAGGGGAGACTGCGAGGGATGCTGAGACCCGGGCCTGGTAACCAAACCCAAATGCAGCCAACGCAACCCAACCAGCCTCAACAGTTCGGCCCACCACCTTCCCAGAACACCTCCTCCTCAATGGGCGGACTGTTCTCCAGCCTCACCGGATCCAGCCAATCGCAGCCGCCCTACGGGCAGGCCAATCAGCAGAACCAGCGGATCCAGCACAAAGGGGTGCCCCAAGTGGTCCCCAATGTGGGGGGGATGGCGCCTAGTGGGGCGCAGCCCCAGCAGGGGCTGCCGGGCGTGCCTGGTGGGCCCAATCTGATGCAGAAACTGAACGAAATCACGGCACCCGGTGGGGACATTCTGTCGAAGGGGAAGGAACTAATTTTTATGAAATTCGGCCTGGGGGGCAAATAACCCTTAAATAGCTGGAGCCTTCGGCTGTTTTAAGGTTCACGTCGAGAGTGTGTTGAGGTCAAGGCTGCCGCGCGATTAAGGTAAGGCCCCTTTGTAAGGGGCATCTTGGCTATGGGAATAGGGGCTTGCAATGTTGCGTTTATCTTTAAGGGGACGCGGCCGAGAGAGGAACATGAGACAATAATGAACTGTGCTCTAAATGACCACAAAAGTCCAATTTCTACGTTTGAAACACCGCACTTTTCTACTCGCGCAATCAGCCGCAGAAGAGCGGGCGGAACTTTTATTTTCCTGCCGGCAAAAAAGTCGCCAAAAATCCCCCGGTCAGGCTGTAGCGGTGCAACTTTCCACTATCACAGTTTGGTCTTTTCTCTACTCGGGACTGGAAAAACCAACCCCGCAGCTCTACCAGATCGGGAGTAATGATTTTTTTAAACAAACGCTGCACCTGAGATTATCCGCCCAATTTGGGCTGGTTGCCTATTTCTTAAAAAATCGCCACAAATTAATCAAAATTGCTTTTCGAATGAAACTTTCTCCTGTACTATAGAGCCAGTCTTTGTCCATGCAATGGTGTAAAAACGAACCGCCCAGCTCTAACCAGTTCTGAGCAATTATTTTTTGAAAATCAGCGGCAGTAGAGGGCAAAAACGCAAATCATCAGATCGCTTCAAAAATTGCAAGTATTCAAATTTTGAAAAGTCGCCAAAAATCTCTTGAAAATTTGTTTCTAATCTAAATTTCCGTCAGCATAGAGCCGGGTTTACGCCACGCTCTGGCTCTAACCAGGTGTGAACAATTATTGTTTGAGCTAACCGCTGCAATAGAGCGAGGATTTGTAAGTGTTCGATTTAAAAAATCGCCCAAAATTTTTGGAAAATGACTTTTTAACGAAACTTCTCTAGAATATAGAGCCAATCTTGTTATATTCAGTAATGCAAAAACTAACTCTCCAGCTCTGTCCAGGTTTGAGCAATTATTTTTTGAACAAAGAGTGGTGAAGGAGCAGCAAATCGCAAAAGTTCAATTTCAAAAATTCCTCAAAAATCTTCTGGAACTGAGTTTCTAATGTAACTTTTCATTAATAT